GGAATGGATATAACGAAAGAGGAAGGAGGCCAGATAAAATTAGCGCCGCACGAATCGGCTACTTCTACGCCGCAATCCAGTATCGAAGAGACGGGCGAGAGTACGCCCGATGAGGGTACCGGCGAAGAGGGAGCGCGAGTTGAAGGAGGAGAGACCGAGTCGCCTGTTACTTTAGCTGATCTGCTCGGGTTAGTAGAACATAACGAATGTTATAAAAATATATTGGTTCATTCATGAAGGAAAATTTTAAAAATCATAAAATTAATTTATATATAGTAAGACTGTATACAATGATAACAATTTTTAACGTTCCTAATACTTCTATTAACAGTTCTTATTACTTTATAATTCAGGTTTTATTTTTTATGTTACTATATACCTAAGTTACGTGTTATGATAATATTGTATAGACATCTGCAGAGTGCGAAACGAAGAAGAATCGTATTTGTCGCATGTTGATACGGCAATTTTTTATGAAGTTAGAGCGTTCCGAAAATCCGGCGGACGCGCATCAATTATGAATAAACCCGGCGCGCGTGTGTGTGCATCACGTACGTTAGGCGCTTATGCTACTGATCAGCTGATCATCAGCTGACCAATAGTAATCGCTTGTCACCGCGCTCTTAGATTGAGATCGCGGATCGATATAATTGTCAATGTACAAAAAAATCGCAACTAGTTGAGCCTGACCGCATAGGAAAGCTGAAACTATACCGCTTTTAGTGAGCACAGGATCATTTAACTCGGATATTAGATTGTGAAATGTCATCAGTTGATTACAAAAATAAAGTTAATTTCGTCCCGTGATGATCATCATCTTTAAATCAGATATATCTTGACTTAATCAATATATCTTTAAATTGCGATATCTTGACTTGAAAAAGTCATAACTGCTTAAAACAAATTGCATTGAAAAACGCACACTTTCCAGTTTGTATCAAAATCGACTATTATTTTTTTTTTTTTTTAAGAAATGAAATATTAAATATTTTAATTTTACAGCATGCTGCTAATTTATGTAAATATGAATGGATTAATATAGTAAATAATTTTTTTAAATTAAATGTACGGTACATTATTTGTTTAGCGGAGAACAAGCCAGAGCGCAAGCTGCCGCAGCAGCGGAAGCGGCGGCGGCTCAACAAGCAGCCATGGCAGCAGTTGAAGCCGAAGCAAAGCAAGAAACCTCAGCCGAGCCTTCCACAGGATCGAGCATCGATCTGTCGCAATATAGTCATCGCGTGGTATCCTTCCTGGCCAGGAATTTCTATAATTTGAAATATGTCGCGCTAGTTCTCGCCTTTTGCATCAACTTTATGCTACTATTCTACAAGGTTTGTGAAAGCTTTGCAATAATTTTTCCTATGCAAACGCAACAAATACATCAAACAAAGTATATAAAACTCTAAGATTCTATAAATTCACGCTTCGCGTTTACATCGTCTTTTCTCATGATGACTTTAAATCCAGGTTTCGTCTTTGGCTGATGATTCGAACGACGAAGGCAGCGGAAGAATAGCGGATTTGTTAACGGAAATATCAGGCGAGGGGACGTCGGGTTTGGCAGGTAGTGGTATGGAAATAGGCAGCGGTAGCGGTGAAAACGGTTCGGAAGAGGAAGACGAGGAGGCTCAGGAATTTGTGGAAGTGGCCGAAGATTATTATTACATGGCTCACGTTATGAGGCTACTGGCTGCTCTTCATTCTATCGTTTCTCTTGCTATGCTAGTCGCATATTATCATCTAAAGGTATATAAAATTCTTTTATTTAATGTAATTAAGTTATTAAATTAAGATTTAATAACTTAATTACATTAAATATATTACATAATAATATATTACATAAAAACATTTTTTTTCCAATAACGGTTTCTATTAATAAGACATTTAATTCCACGAATTTAAGATATTGTTATCGAGTGATTTAAAAAATTACAGAATATTTATGTTTATTCAGGTACCATTGGCCATATTCAAACGAGAGAAGGAAATTGCACGACGAGTAGAATTCGATGGATTATACATAGCCGAAACGCCGGAGGAGGACGACATTAAGGCGCACTGGGATAAAATGGTGATATCGGCAAAAACCTTCCCCGTAAATTATTGGGACAAGTTTGTCAAGAAGAAGGTCCGGCAGAAATACAGTGAGACGTACGATTTCGATTACATCAGCAATTTGCTCGGAATGGAAAAGACGTCTTTCAGCCAGCAGGAAGACGAAGGATCTGGCTTAATACATTTGTAAGTATTCGTAATATCGATGATAATATCTCAAGTCTTTTCGTGAGATTCTTTAATGTAAAAAATAAATTTTATAGCATTGTAAATATCGACTGGAGATATCAAATATGGAAGGCCGGGGTCACGATCACCGATAACGTAAGTTCTTTCGAGTGAATTTTCGGCAGGATTAATTCGTGTGTATCATAATTCATTTATATGTGAATTATTTCAATTAAAAATATCTATAATTTTTATTTTCAGGCATTTTTGTACAGTTTGTGGTACTTCACATTTTCGATCCTCGGCAACTACAACAATTTCTTCTTCGCCGCTCACCTGCTCGACGTCGCGGTCGGTTTCAAAACTTTACGAACGATCTTGCAATCGGTGACACATAACGGCAAGCAGCTGGTCTTAACGGTGATGCTACTGACAATCGTGGTGTACCTTTACACCGTGATAGCCTTCAATTTCTTCAGAAAGTTCTACATACAGGAGGACGACGAAGTGTCAGACAAGAAGTGTCATCATATGTTAACGGTACGCAGAAATACGTGAAGAGTCTTGATCTAATCATAACGTATTTCAACCGTAAGCTTAAACCTTCACATTATTCTAATTTGAAACTGTTAACGTATTTTTTTTATTTCCTTTGGCAGTGCTTCATTTTTCACTTGTACAAAGGCGTAAGAGCCGGCGGTGGTATAGGCGACGAGATCGGCGAACCCGATGGCGACGATTACGAAGTTTATCGTATAATGTTCGACATCACGTTCTTCTTCTTCGTGATCATCATTCTTTTGGCTATCATTCAGGGTGAGTATTGTCGATTGCTTTCTCGATTTGCGACAGAAAGAAAAAAAAAGAGAAAGAGCATATTACATCGCGCGATTGGTCCTCAGGTTTGATCATCGACGCGTTTGGCGAACTTCGAGATCAGCTCGACAGCGTGAAGACAAATATGGAGAGCAATTGCTTCATATGCGGTCTAGGAAAGGAATATTTCGACGCGGTGCCGCATGGGTTTGACACTCACGTGCAGCAAGAGCATAATCTAGCAAATTACATGTAAATATCGATGAATATTTTTATGTCTTTAATTTTCTCAATAAGAGATGCGTCGCGGAAGAAATTTATATAATCGATTTTTATAATTAATTTTCGACAGGTTCTTTCTTATGCACTTGATTAACAAGCCAGACACCGAATACACTGGTCAGGAGACCTACGTGTGGAACATGTATCAGCAAAGGTGTTGGGACTTCTTCCCGGTGGGCGACTGCTTCCGCAAGCAGAACGAGACGGTGGAGGAAGAGGCCAAGAAGAAATAAAATTAATCCCGACTCTAATCTAAGGTGACAAAATAGAAAACGGTCGATCTTATACCTGACGAAGAGGACCCTCCTCATCGAACTGGCGTCTTCGATAATTCTTAGCGTAAATTTTTTGCTCATTGAACGAGAGTGTCGCGCGCGTTCGTTTAAAAATCAAATTTCGAAAGTTCTGCGTCTCTTACCTCATAACGGCGAAGGAGAGGATTTTTATCTCGTAAACTTATATGCCTCCGTTTTCCACTTGACAATTTATCGTTATTCCGACTAACTAATAGACTCTCTGACGTGTGAATGTAATGCATTAATTGCGTATTGCGTGTGTAATGAAGATTACAGAGAGATTCGCGTCTGATACCGCATCAAGAGTGAGAAAGGGGGGGGAGGGCGGAGGGGACGTGTAAAATTGAAAATATTTTTCCAACTTTGTAAAAATGGCATAAATCGTATCACCAAAACCGGCATAAACCCTATCACCAGAAAACAAATTTCCTCCTTTTGATAGGCAATGATCGTCGACGAGAGCTCGATTTCCTTCGACCGGCGGTACGTTATTGTTAAATCGAATGGAAACGGCGGAAACTGACTGCACAAATTTACATATTCATAGCGTTACAATATTGCCTTCTTTTCATACGTCGGATGATCTATATACTATGTAATTATACGCTGCGTCGCGCAGCGATAACAAGTTTGAGATATATGACATAGTTTAAGTAAGTTAAAGATGTTTAAAGTTTATATAATGTGCAAATCTCTTTCTGATTGCTGACGAAAAAAAGCGGGAACTTTTTGGACATTATATATATATGACTGAGCTCACACACAGTATATCTGAGAGAATGTCAATATATTGTAAATAAAATTCTACAGCAGGACTACCTGGTAAATAAATAACATACTTCTCTAATTCGTCATCCCAGGATCACTCCTCACCCTTATATGCGTCTTAATTCTATATTTTCAAATTCAATTTAATTTAAATAACTATAATCTTCAAAGGGAAACTTCAAAAATATAAAGTTTCTACAATTATCTCTACATTATTAAATCTACAAATTATTAATATTACATTGTTATTTATTTTACTTTCGATTTATGTTAGGAAAAAATTTTAAAGAATATATGGATTTTGAAATACAAAAATGATACTAAAAATTGTTTTCTATTTTCATCGGAATAATAGGTATGTACATCCGAAAGAGAATTTCATCGGAAAAAATTTAGTCCTCGATCGATTCCGCGATCGATGAAGCGCCGGCCGGAATTTTGCGCGACGCCGCGACGCCGCGTCGTATCGATGTTCACCGCGGTATAGTAAAATCTCGGTATTTCCCGTCGCGGCACGCACCCCCAGGGAAACGAGAGAGGAGCAACAAGAGTAACGGCGTGTCCCTCCGCACCGAGAGCGGAAGGAGGTCGCGCAAGCGCCTCGGGATCAGTACTCGCTCGCCGGCGAGGAGTCTTCAGGGTGAAAATGCATCATGGCATGGGAGGATCGGCGGGCGATCGTCACGGCGCTCAAAATCCGGCGATGCAGGCCAGGAATGGGGTCTGCGACAAAATCGAAAATTACATATCGGAGCTGGGCCGATGGTACGTGAGTAAACGCCGGGGTTGGCCGCCTTTAGGCCGCTCGCGGAAGCCGTTGCGTTGTGTTTTCCGCCCTGTGCCCGCCCAGCAGAATCGGTGGGGACGGGCGTAAGGGGGCGAATGACCCAGGGATGAAAGTGGCGGGTGTTTAGCTACGTTTTGTCGTAGTTTCCCTCGTGATTGGCAAAACGACGTGTAATTGTAATGCAATCGCGGTGATTTAATCTCGATCGAAGTTTCAGAAATTAAGAATAAGTAATGAGAATGGAACAACAAATCAATATATGTGCAGATAATACGAAAATTCGGAAAGCGCTAGTGTTGGTGTTGCCTTTGCACACCAAGGTTTCTACGTGTGCGAAATTTCGAACTGTGTTGTTGATTTGTGCATTTTAGTAATCATATGTATTTTTAATAATTTCAATAATTTTTGTACAATTGTTATAAAAATTTGCCAAAGTATTTTCTATTAATTTTTTTTTTTTTTTTTTTTAGTTAAATCATTAATTTTTATGCACCGTTTTTTGCACCTTGTGTCGCGTGGTCGGTTTGAAAGTGCGATTTTGATCTGATCACAGTGCCGGGCATTATTATTTATGTATTAAAGTACTCTATTAAACGACTCTAGTATCAAATATGAGATATTTAATCTATTGAAATTAAAACTCTAAATAAATTTATTTAAAGAAAATCGGTGCCTTATTTTTTATAATATATAAATTTTAAATACTAATTTTTATGGCAATTTTATAATTTGGCACTAATTGGCACACATTTTAATATAATATTAAACTAACACTTTAAAACATTTAAATTTGCTCACAAATGTAATACACTTATTATATAGTTATGTAGCTTTTAGACATATTTTAAGGTATACATTTGTATATTCGTAAAATAAATATAATTGTTTAATGTATTGCAAAATAGGGCGGTATGGAGGGCGATAATAATGGGCCAGTTTCTCTCGCTGGTGCTATGCTTCATGACGTTCGTAAATCATTATATAAACACCGGTTCCTACAAGCTCTCGCTTCCAACAGGTAATTTATTCATATGGGAAAAAAACTGTTTTCCGCCTTTAGCGTACGGAAGTTAAGCTGACTAAATTATAGCAATTTCAAGTTTGCGGAGCTTTAGCTCGGCTAATTAATTATTACCGCTTTTTGCGAGACAGGGCAGAATGTTCCGCACTACGTGATGATGTGCTTAGTCTACACGACGTGGATGTCCTGCAGGGGTGTGGGGAACGGCCTAATTTCCGTCATACGAGCCCGTGGCTGGAGGTACTTGTTGTTAGCGCTGATTGACGTTGAGGCGTGCACCCTTATTACATCGTCCCATCAATACACCAGCCTCGCTAGTATACAGGTGTGTAAATATATGCGATGATCTTTTTAAGAGCACAGTAAAGCGAGTATACCAGGGCATATTTAATATCCGATTATAATAAACGATTAGAATAAATCATTTTTTTAGAAATCTTATAATAAATTATCAATTTGAATAATTCTTATTATACATAATTCTTATTGTACACTGTTAAATCTAAACAATGTCAAATTTAATCTTATTTGAGTCGCCACTGCTTCTACTTAATATATAATTATTTTTAAATAAAACAATGGAATTTAACCCAAATTTGGGTTAAATTTCAACTGTTTTAAATTATTTAACTCTATTGTTTTAGTTAAAAATAACTAACACATTAAGTAGGAGCAATGGCGCTTCAAATAAGATTAAATTCGACTATAGATTTAACAGTGTATTTTTCAATACTTATATTCCCTTTATAAATCTCTTTTACTACGCATTGAATGATCAATAAGAAAGTTACTTGTCTCGCGATTACGTCTACCCACGCTTAAATCCCATTCAAGCGCGATTTCTGTCGGCACGTTGTTTAATGTACGATTTCCTACTCGAGCACGTACGTAACTTTCCCCTCGCATAGTTTGAATTTGTATTATCTGACGAGCGTATAGTAGTACTTGCATCAAACAGTGAATGAATGGCGTACGGAATAGGCATTGTAGTGGCCACGGCGGGATAGAGGACATTGGGTCTTCGACCCAACAATGGTCGTTCCCTCTCGTTGCCTGAGCCGCCCGTTCTTAATCAAACGCGCGTTGCAGGCGCGCTATGAATTATCCATTGTCGCTTCAGACTCGCTTCTCCGTTGCTACACGTACATACATGAGTAATGTAACCACTATAAAAGAAGTTATAAAAAGAAGAACCTATTATAAAATCTTTTAGCTTCTTGACTGCGTGGCGATACCGGTCGCCTTGGTGCTCTCGTTTCTGGTACTGGGCGTCCGATACAGAATGGTGCACATCGTCGGCGTGTCCGTCTGCTTGATGGGCGTGGGATGTCTGGTTTGGGCTGGCATAGACGACAATAACGATCCCACGGCTACCGGTAATTATCGACGAGTAGACTTACAGGCAGACAGGTTGTCGCGCGGTAGAGGAGAGCGAGGAAAGAAGACAAAAATTAACGTTGAACTTTGTTTTGTCGTGGTCAGGAAAGAACCAACTCGTCGGCGACATGCTCTGTCTCGGCGGCGCGGTGCTGTTCTCGATAACGACGGTTCTCCAGGAATTGGCCGTTAAAACGGTCGATATCATCGAGTACCTCGGCATGATCGGTTTCTTCGGCATGATACTGAGCTGCATGCAATCGTAAGTAGTAGGCCGTGTAATGGAAATATTGAAAGGCTTTCGCGGGGACGCCTTCTCTGAATGAGTGACATTTTTGTATCGATCGGTTTCATTTATACAGCGTCGTGCTCCAGAGGTTTCAAATAGAAGCGTTTTGTTGGGACAACGTGCCAGTAATAACGATCCTGATCCTCTACTGCATCACGCAATTCATGTTCTTCTCTCTGGTGCCGGTAATATTGTTCGAATCGGGCGCTACCGCCTTGCAGCTGGCGCTGCTCACCTCAGACTCCTTCAATATTCTAGCTGGAATGCTTAATCACCACTACAAGGTGGGCCATTGATTTGCATTGACGAGTGTCGTCATTTCCTGTGCGATAATGTTCATATTCAAATATATAAACATATAGGTCCAATACACCTAGAAATTCACGCAGTAATTTTTTTTCAAAGTAAAAGTTACACTGAGAGAAAAGTATAACATTTGCAACTATAATTGCAAAATAATTATAATTAGGAATCATGATTACAGATGGTCTTATTTTTATAATTATTATTCCTATGATTTTAATAACAATAATTATATTTATAATTCTATCAAACAAATAGTTGGCGCAAGAAATGACTGTACATTATAATCAAATTATTTAATAATTAATTGCAACCATTCTTTTTCTCAAATGTAACTTTTTGAAAATGGTGTAAATCGAATACTGAAATATCTTTCTTCATCTTCCTCCCCAGTTTCACGCACTGTACTTCGTTTCGTATACACTCACGATGACCGGCATATATATTTACGCCATAAAGAGAACACCAATGTCGTCGAGCTCACGGAGACAGCACATCGAGCCACCGATTCCGGATTATAGGTAAAAGTAATCCTACCTAAACCATCGCGCGAGTCGACTTTCGAAAGTGGATTATCGAGCATGTATTAACGTGACGCTATTTTTCCATCTCAAGACACATGTCCCATCCCGACGTCGGCGAGGTGGAGATGGCCACGAGCTCCGGAATGTCCGGCGTGAGCGGCACCCTCGACATAAGGGCGTCCACCCTCGGCAGCGAGAGGGAGACGATGGACGCGACGAGCCTGCCGCTTAGCGTCAGCTCCGACACGGCCTTCACCTCCTTCTACGGCAGTCAGGCAAATCTAAAGGTAGCATCGAGATCGATGCCGCGTGTCTCGTCCAATTCGTATTTTGATACGCGTACCGGCGCGCCCTGATATCTGTCGGGAATGAACTTATTGACGCGAGCGCAGGGTTCGCGCGATATCCCGAGGCAGATGGAATCCACGCGGATGAGCGTTCTCTCGAAATCGAGCCATTTCCGATAAAGCACGACTGCGCGTTGCACGACACGAGGCTCCGACGGTTTTTGCAATATATATATTGATGATTTGAAATTTTGGTAGGTAGACTCATTTTACGAAAATTATAGCCTTGGAGCACGCATGATATCGCGTAATGTACGAAGGTAATAAAATCAAACGACTCGTACAAAGGCAATAAGATCAAACGACAAATAAAATTGATAAATGTATTATAGGTTTTAGATATTATTATATATACTTGACGGTAGGCTTGACGGCGCTATGTATGCACGAACGATAAGAGGAACCTTTCGATTCGCGCGGCGATCCATCTGCCTCCGACAGCGCGAGTGTGTGTGATCTCTCTCCGTATTTCTTCAGCTATTCTTGCAGGTGTAAATGAAATCTGTGACGGTTTCAGGCTGCGAACGGGAACAGTGCTTCTGCCTGTAATTAATAAACGGAAGGGAACGACTGCCTAGAGTAGAATACCGTGCGATTCGTTCGTTCGAAAAAAAATGCGAACTTCTTGACTTCTCGAAACGGGGTCCTTAGAAAACACACGGAGGGATGTTTGTATATCGACACCGTAATTACGAACGCTAGCACACAGTCTAAAGACTTCTTTTAGATATATCTGTGTAAAACTATTAATTACACAGTGTTAATTGTACTTAATGGTAAAACGATAGCCGGACCGTCTTTGAGTTGCAATTCGATGACGTGATTAGACATTATTTAGTAAATATATAATATTACTTTTATAATGTAAAAAACACTACTGTGATTATCACACATATAACTTAATTGTTGTAATAATTATTGTAATAATTTTTATCATTATAACTACGTTAATTTTATAATCTTCGCGCGCGACGAAATAAATTTAGTATTATAATTTATAAAGTTCGATAATGACAAATTCGATAATTTTATCTCGTTATAGTATATAAGAAGTATTTATCTAATTGGACCTTTCGATATGCATATTTGATGATTAATATTTAAGATTAGTATTTTTCGACTTGAACGATCGAATTGAGCTTAAGGACGGCTATATAATCAAAATATATACCGACTTAGGTATATTTCTCTTTAGGTATAGATATTCCTCTTCTAATCAAAAAACATTTCCAGTATATATTGTTTATAAAAATGTGAACTAATTCTGTAAGAATTCTGTAAGAACGAAACGTGCCAAATGTCGAAGTTTATTAACACTTAGATCGTAGAGCTAGGAGAAACGCGAAATGTGAAACATATGTACTCGTTTTATGTACATCGTGTACTCATTTTCACTTAAATTTTTTATATTAACACGAATTACCTTCGTGGATGTTTGTTATGACTATTACGATCGATATACTGTAGTATATACAAAGATATTTATAAGTTAACGCTGATAACGAGGGCCGATCGAGGAGGAAACTTACGTAATTCAACCCGAGACGGATCTCGATCGACCTAATTAATACAGTACTCAATGTAAGTCGACTACGTAATTATGCTACGCTATTCTATTCTTCTATTACAATAGTAACGATTTGCGGCTGCAATGAAACAAATTCACTATCGTCACCCAATGCGGATAACACTTAAAAATGACTACACTTATTTAATTGAATTTCCGCTATCGCGCGCACAATATTGAAGTGTAATAGTAACTAAAAAAATATGTGACTTATATTCTTGTCAATAATCCACCTCTTTTGTTAGCAATAACTAGTCACAGTGGAATAACAGCTAGAGCATTCACAGGATGAGCAGAAAATCCAAACACGATACTTTTACCTTGTTGTTACACCATGCTAATTCATATTATTATGCAATCAATCAATAAACTAATCTTACGTAATTAACGTTAAAAATGCCTAGAGACAAAGTGATAATTCAGCAAAAAATTTTCCCGTCTTTTTTCCCTTGAATTAAAACTCCATCAAGATTTCCTGAAATCGTAATTCTTTTAATTTTTAGTATCCTATCGTAAAATTGCCATGTTACCTGCGTTGAAGCCTCTTTTGCCCCAATGTTTAAAAATTTATATCTTCCAGAAAAATAAAGACATAGACTTCTTTCTGGGCTCATCTTAAAGATGAATTATGTGGTTATTTTTTAAGAAATCGTGATCTTATTTAAAAATGGCCGATTCAATATGGCCTATTAAAACGTCAGTTTATTGAAAATTGTTATAATTTGTTTAATTAAAATGTAATTTGTTATAAATGTTATTGGACGATGTATGGAGTTTAATACGCACCGCGCGCAAAGCGTCATTTTTTTTGAAA